TGTAACAGATGGAGGGCCCTGGACAGCTGAGCTGGCCTTTGCAGTGACAGCCCTTCAATCAGTGTCAGACAGTGTCTCTGCACCCACCGTGGTGGAGCATTGTGTGGCTGAGGTGGTAAGGGTGCCCCACAGGCAGAACCCTGCTTTCCTAGGCCCAGGCACTCAGCCTCTACGGGCCTGAAGCCCAAGGAAGCCTGGGGGTCTGTGGGGATTCAGGACCCCAGGAGCAGGTTCAGGCAGGTCAGGAAGCCTGCAGGAGGAAGCCTCAGGGCTTCAGTGCAGCAAACTCTCTGGTTATTGCAGACACAAGCAGAAGCCTCTAACCCTTCAAAGAAGAGGCCTTTGGTGCAGAGGGAGGAAAAAGGATGTTAGGGCGTAAGGGAAAATTACCACCACCTGGTGACAGTGCAAAATTTTATTTAATTTTCAGCACAACAGTGCTGCATTGAAGGAAGCTAGCTTTGCTATATAAAATGTAAAATAGATGTATTCATATTCATGTGGAGAAGAAGATGCAGAAAGATGGAGAACAGAGAAAAGAGACGGAGGAAGACACAGAGACAAAGAAAGATGTGAACAGAGACAACAAAGCAGAGGGTGTGGGTCTGCCCAGGGTTCTGGTCTAACATAGGTTGATGTATGAGTGTGCACTGGGAAGTGGGTCTCGTGAGAGGACAGTTTCCAGAGCAGACCAGTCCAATCTAGGGCAAATTGAGTGCTCTGCATGGACTCCTTTCAGTTTGCTTTGGAGGGAAGGGCTGGAAGACCCAAGGAGAATAATGACAGGGTTGGCTTCATAATAATAGTAAAGTTGATCTGCATAACAATAACAATAACAACTTCATAACAATAGTAAAGTTTAATTTCTTGAATGACACAATGAAATTCATATGAAATTATTTTCTAAAGTTGTGTCATGTTCTCTTACTGTGCATCAGCTGATGATGAGCTCGGGAGCAGCGCATGATACATCAGAGCAGGTCACGTGTCACTGTGTCATCTCCTGGGAAAGAGGCCACTTTGGTCAGGGCTTGGCATGGAGTCTGACCTGAGGCTTGCAGCTGCCGCTTGCAGATGGTGTGACCTTGGCTGTTTGCTCGGTTTCTATTTCTTCATCTCAAACAGGTCAGAGTGTAACTGAGGGATGAATGAGACTGTGTATCTCCAAGTGGGAGCCACATTAGGTTTAGCGAGGATACAGACCTTGCAAGCGTACTGACTCCTGGTCTTGGATGACCGTGTGCCTGGGATCTGGTGGGGTTCCTGGGGAAGCTGGCTCCTTTCGAGGGTTTTGTCTTTACTGTCCCCAGCCCAGAAGAAAAAAATGAAACAGAGGCCTGGGCTGCTGCAGCAAGGCATCCTACAGCATGTATCCTCCACTTTTTCCATGTTCGGGGCTCCAACCCAGGGAGTAGCTATGCACAAGCCAGAGAAAGTACATACAGTGGGGCAGGTATTTTATGATTTTTAAAATGTGAGACCTTTGTTAAAGTGAGTTGGAGACTACAGCTTCTAACAGTGGTCAAAGTGGATCCTGCTACTTGCCCTTCCTGAACTGAAGGAAAGCAGGCCTGGGGAGCAGGACAGCCCTGATATATCCACCCACCTGGGGTCTAGAGCAGAGAAAGCAAGGCTAAAGAAGTCAGCCATCTCAGGATGGAGAGAGGGAGGAAGATTGATAGGTGGGCCTGCTCATAAGGCCTACTTGCTAGTACCACCATTTAAGTTCTCTCAGTATTGGGGCAAATTCTATAACACTGAACATCAAAAAATTGTTTTCTTTTCAAGGAGCTCTTAGGGCCCAAGGCCAATATTTCTGGGTTCCTCTTAGGGAAGAAAGATAGCTTTTGTCAAGTTAAGAAAGTGCTACTGTATCCCTCTGCCCTATGCTAGTCCCAGTTGCTTCCCATGCATAGAATGAAAAGGGCCACTAGAGTAATTCATGTAAGAACTAGTTGTATTCTTTATAAAACTAGAAAAAGGCAACATTATCCCCCGTATAATGCTATTGGCTTTCATTTTTTTTTTTTCATCATTGATTACATTTTGCACATTGGAGTTCTACTCACTTGAAACTATCATCCCACACATTTTCTTGTTTTCTTGTACAGCAACTATCTGAGATCTTTTCACACTTAAAAACAAAGAGTCCAGGTCGGTCTCCTCAAACCCAGGGCTGCACCAACCCTCAGAGATGTTGGACACTGGACCACAGATTACGGCCAGGGTGTCAGAGACGACAGCGTGAGGAGGAGGATGGCTGTGTGCCCATGGTAGCAGGGAGAGAACAGGGCAGGAAGGGGATTCTCAGAGATACAACCTCTCTAGGACGGTTGTCTTAGCCACTTTCTTGCCACTGGGACAAAATACTGGATGCCGGTAACTTAAAGGAGGAAACATTATTTGGCTCTCACTTTCCAGTTCAAAGTTGGCTGGCTCCCAGGCAGAGATAGCACTGCAGGAGGGCCTGGCAGAAGCAAGCTGCGCAACCCATGACAGCCAGGAAGACGAGAGAGAAAGGACGAGCAAGGACAAGAATACACCGCTGGAGGTCGCACTCCCAGTCAGTCGCCCACCTCCTACCAGCCTCCGCCTCCTAAGAGCACATTTGGCTACTGAACTCATGACTGTGAATGCACTGATGAGTACAGCATTATCATGATCCAGTCACCTTCCAAACACTAGAGACTTTTTTTGGGGGTATTTTAGATCTAAACCATAACGGCAGTGCTGAGAAGTACAAATGCTCCACATATGCTTGGGCATTGCTGTGTAGACCAGTGTTGTTCAGAATGGAGGGCATGGGGGTTATGGCCCTGCTGGGGAAAGCTTAAGGCTGGGGAGAAATACTGCACCTTTCCTACCTGGTTGACACCATCTAAGGAACACCTGGGTCCAGTTATACTTAACGCTCAAACTCCTCCACATCTCAGCACAAGAGTCAATAAGTTGCTTTGCATTATGTGTGACTGGAATTGTTCTACTGGCTTAGAAATGAGGAGAATGGTTAGGGATTGTATGTGATAGCTTTTGGGTGGGAGGAGCCACAGGAGGGATTGGACAGCTCTAGCTGATACCTCCCTGGCTGAAGCAATCAAAAGACTTCTCAGGTAGAGTATAGTGGGTAGAACGAGCAAAAACTTCCAAGAAAATGGAGGTGATTTCTGATCCCCCCAATCTTCTTGAGAAAGCCATTGTAATAGCTGAGCCTCAGCTTTTTTATTTGCAAGGTGGAGGAAGTGGCGAGATACTAGTACTGTGAGAAGGTAGGACATAGATGCTCTGGGCCACTGGAGACACGTCCACACCACTAGCCCAGCAGGCATTCAGGGCACTGCACTTCCCGCTGTATAATGCGGTTGGTTTTCATTCTACTTTCCTCAACAGTGATTACACTTCTCACTGTGGAGTTTCACTCACTTCAAAGAACCATCCCACACACTGTCCCCTTTTCTCTCAAGAAATGCATTTTTCCTTTGGATTCGGGAGGCTGCTCTGTCATGGAAAAGTAGCTGAGAAGACCCGGGACTGATATTTAAAAATCATCTGTTATGTTCCAGTTTTCAGGCATATGTTGCCTCATTTCTCTTCCCAACCCTCCAGCTGGGATTACCAGTTCCATTTTTAGATAGGAAGCTTAGTTTCTGCAAGGCTGATTCATGCAACTTGGGTCACACAGCCAGCAACTGTTGGAGCCTGGAGTCCAATCACAAAGGCCCCATGCAAGTGGGAGTGAGAGGTGGGTGGTGCTGCCTCAGCATTAGGGCTTCCCCCCGGGAGGGTCCCAGGGATCCAGGAAGAGGAGCTGGCAGAAGTGTGAGCTCTCTGTCTTCCACCCCATCAGGGGCTTTTGGGCCTTTGCTTGGTGCTTCAGGTGCAGGGCCAGCATGTATGGCCCACTCTCCTCTCCATTTGTGTCTCTCTTGTATCTTCCCTGAGCTTATGAAAGGACCCCAGTCTCTGCCTAATTAAGTCTTCGTTTCTTCCATCCAAACACTGGCAAATCCACCTGCCCTTCTGCCTACCTCTCAGGAGGAGGCACTCAGAAGCAGTTGAGCTGACCACTCAGGAGCGGACACAGCTCAGGAAGCAGCAGATTTTCCCTGGCAGCTGCTTGAGAGGGCAGGAACCAGAAAACTGCCTATACCCAAGAGAAAACCAAAGTTCTTCAGCTTTATTTTTTTTTTTAAAGAAAAAGGTTTTCACAAGCCCCCACATATTCTCTTAAGTGGAATAAAATTATAAGTGGATCTACTTCCCAGGGGGAAGACTAGCTGGAGTCTTAGCTCCTTGCTTATCTCAGGGATATATTATATTATGTAATTTTATATATAAGTATAATCCTACCTACCACACACTGGGCATAGTGTCAGATACAGGGATATGAAGGTACAGAATATATAATCCTTGTCTTTAAGGAGGTAAGATGGGCGACAAATAGGTCAGTGGGGGATGGTAGTAAAGAACAAGCCAGGTGCAGTACAGAGTACCAAGGGGTACAGATTGGAGCTGAACTGGCCATGCTGCTTGGGAAATGGCCTGGGAGAGGTGGAGTCTACTCTGAGAAGCACATGAACAGTATGAGCTAGTCAGGTGCAGAAGAGGAGCAGGTGGGCAGAAGGAGGGCTTCAGCAGAAGAAACAGCTGACTGGCTGAAGGCTCAGAAGTAAGAAAAAACATTGCTTTGGGATGTTAAGGAAGCTTTGCCTAGTTCCCAGGCTATTAGTCTTTCTATGAGGCCCTCTCTGAGAACTTTGTAGCTCAGTGTTTTTGTGTGTGTGTGTGTGTAAGGAAGTACAAGTTATCACCCAGCAAGTTTATGACATTTGACATTTTATACATGTTTTCAGAGCTAATATCTCATTGAATCTCCCAATGGTGTATGAAAGAGGTATGTCTGATCTTGTTGTTACAGTTTCAGTTTCACATTGGGGAAAACCAAAGCTTAAGAGATGTGCACTCCTTTTTTTTTTCTGAGCCTAGCAATGTACCATGACTGATTTACAATTTGTATGAGTTTTTTTATTGCTGGGCAACAGATAAGGCAAGCCTGAGGTTTTAAACCACACACTTACTATCTCACAGTGTGTGTGAGCTGGGTTCTGTGCTTCAGCATGTTTTCAGGCCTCCGTCAGAGGGCTGGCTGGGTTGTGTTCTCATCTGGATGCTTGAGTGGAGAAAAATCTGTTGTCAAGCTCTCTCCATTGTTGGCAGAATTCATTTCCTTACAGCGGCATGATTAATAGTAGTTGCCTCCTTTGAAGCCAGCAAAAAGACTCAGACCCTAGAACAAATCTAGTATCAAGAAAGTATTAAGTAATGTAGTCTAAGCAAAGGAGTAATATCTCATCCTCCTTGCCATATTCTTTTGGTTAGAAGAGGCTCTGCTCTGCCCCAGGAAGAGGGCCCTGGGGCCAACTTCAGGTTGGCCTGCCACAGTGTCTCACCTGCTAGTCCATGTTGTTCCCTTCTCTGGCATTCTGTGCAATCCCCAATCACAGTGCTAACATGCCCTCTACTGCCTCCTGCTCCAATCATAGGGCTGATGGCTTTCTGTTCCTTTGCTGGCACTGTGATACTGACTCTGAACTGCTGAGTGGTCACCACTGATCTGCAAGCCCCTCCCTTCCTTCTCCTTCTATCTCTTACGTTCTGTTCTCTTTTACCCTGCACCTTGAGCCTCCTCACTTTTGCATTCCTCACTGATTGCTGCTGCCTGAGGTGGGTATGCAGGAAGTACTTTTGAGCACTCTGATGAACGATTTGCTTCAAGTCCCAAGTTTGTTTTCAAACTTGATCCTGATTCCAGGACTTTTTCTACTATACCACCACCTCTCTAAGTGTTCAATACCCAAATCAAAACTCAACATTGTGGATGTTCTTGCTGGCATTAACAGGATTTAAAGGACCAGCTCCCCATAAGACATAATGGCAGTGGATGATAATGTACCACATTTAGTTATGTTTTTTATTTTTTCACTGACATCATCCAGTTCATTAGCACACAGTTGGATCTGGCCCCCTTATAGATACAGAAACTGGGGCTCAGATCAGTGAAGTGATTTGCTTAAAACTACAAAGAGAAAAAAATCTCAAAGCTGTGACTCAGTCCAGGGCTTTTGGGTGAAATCATTTATAAAATGTTAATGGCTTGAGTATTCCCTGTCAGACATCACTGAGGTTGAAAATGTAAATAGGTTCACTTGTTAAGCCCTTGTGATGGAAATAGAGCACTAAGATTGCAAATATAAAGCAAACTCTTAAGTTTAGAGATGAAGTTACATAGAGTAGAGGTGGGGAATCCAGAAGAAAATTACCACATTGGGGGGGGGGGTTCTTCACCGTGGTCACATGAAGACATTAGGAGTTGTAGGCAAAGGAAAAGAGGGCTCAGAGCAGATTGCAGTGGAGATAGCATAGGGTGGATTACGTGCAGTGAAGCGTCCAGCAGGAGACAATGACAGGAAAGCACCAAAAGGCACCTCTCCTTGTTCTTTCACTCCTGTTTCTGGAGTCTTCTTTCACCAAGGCTACCCCTCTGCCTGCCCCACAGGTTCCTCTCCTCGCCTCACAACCCCACTCTGTGGTCCTCTTCCTCCTGATCACCAGCTTGTCTCTCCCACTCTGCTTCCGTGCTTGTCTTCCACACAGGGTGGCTTAGGCCCTCAGTGTCCCACCCTCTGGTTGGGCTGGGGCTGGTCTTGGTGAGGTCACCGTGACCTCACTGGGTGGAGCTGGCAAAAAAGGGACTGACCTCGTCTTATGTGGGTGCTCACCATGCCAGGAGTCGCTCACTCTCCTGGCATAGTTTTCTCATGGAATTCCTCTGCCACCCTCCCTGACCTGTCCCACTCCTGCTGATAGTCACTGTTAGTCTCTTTTGCTGTGTTTTCTCCCCTGTTCCTTGCAGCCCTCTGGGACTTCATCTTCTTCCATTTCAGTGAGAGGGAGGAGCAGCATGTGCAAGGCTTGGAGGCACAGCATACTTTGTCATGGGGCATGACAAAAGAAAACCTGTGTGACAAGAGCTCAGCTGGTGAGAGGGTGAGTCTCAGTGAATGGTGAGGAGACAGAGGGAGAAGTCAGCTCATTATGGACCTTATCGACCATGGCAGTTACTGGGTGAAACTGGAGGTCTTTCAAGATGACTTGGAGATGCAGGGGACTGACATGGTTATCTCTGTGTTTTGGGAGATTGCCATGGTTGCTCTGGGGAAGCCACACAAGTTTGAGGCAGAGGGGCCAGATGGTGCACTTAAAGAAGAAAGGACAGTGTTGGCTATGGATAGAATGTGTGGGCAAGTCAATGAAGGGTCACTCCAGGGCATCCATTATTCCATTAACTGCACAAAATACTTGCCTTGTCTTTTAAACCCAAGGCTAAAGCAAGGGCCAAAGCCAATGCCTAACAGAACAGCCTATGTAGCTGGAAAACAATTTATTACTCTCTTAGCAAGTGAAAGGAAAAGCAGCTAGGGTACTCACCCTCTATGGTCCTTGTCATACACATCAAGGAGAGGACCTCTTATAGCAGAAAATACCCCTCCAGCCAGTATATTTCAGTTGCCCAGGTAATAGTTCCTGTCCCTACTGTCTCCTAGATATGTCTGGTCACTGTGATGCATAGCTGATCACTGTGATGCATACTGTAAGAACCAATCAAAGACAGCCAAGTGCTCTGCTTCTTGCTTGCAACCCATGTCAGGGCCTGACATTTTTAAGGATAATTGTTTCCTTGTCAGTGCCTGTCGATGTAAATAAATCTACCTCCAAATCCTGGGCAGCATTTCGGCGTTTCTGTTTGCTGTTGCACTCTCACCCCACTAGGGACCTTCTATAACACTGGGGCCAGGTGACAGTGTTGTGGGTGTCAGGACCCAGTAGTCACGAGTGCTATGGATGTGGAGTGGGTCCTGATAAATCACCAATTCTTGTGCTCTCAAAGGATCACAAACCACTCTCCCAGCTGTGGTTTGAGACTGTGCCTGCCTGGGATGGGAGGAAATGTGTAAGGTCACCAGGGCATCCTGCAGGAGTCTCCATTTCTTAGTATCTTGTATAATGAGATTAATCTGGTAGCAGACTCATGACCCTTACTATGTTCTAAGTGCTTTGCATATATTAAGTCATATATTTAATCTTCATAACAAGCTTGTGATGTAGGCTCTATTTTTAATCTCCATTTTCAGATGAGCCACACAGGGAACACATAATTTGCCCAAAGTAGCAGGAAGTGGAGCTGGAATTGGACCTGTGAGTGCAGGCTTTATGTTAGTCCTGTCTACTATCTCCCTGGAGATAGAAGACTGCATGGCACATACCAGAAAATAAATATCAAAGAATTAATTGAAGACAAAAATGGAAACTAATGAGATTTAAGGTTAATGGCTACTGGGTGTGAAGGAGTTGGAGGGAGAAGAGTAACTCCTCACCTTCTTGCTTGGCGATTAGAATATTTGTGGTGTCACCAAATGAGTTAAGGTATTATGAAAAAGAACAATCTGAGGGGCAGGAACTAGGTTACTATTAAATAGTTTGTTCTGAGGATGTTTGTAGACCACTTGTGCAGTGTGCAGATGTTCAAAGCATTATTGAATAAATAAAGAAAAATGGGATACAGTTACTTCTTTTAGGATCCCTGAGGAAGCATCAGAGATGTAATCATAATTTGATGGTGCAATAAAGTTGGGGAGAGAAAAGAAGGAAGAAGAGGAGAATAAGCAAAATCTCTGATTTCAAATAGCACTTTGTCATCCTGTGATGAAACTCTTTCACAGCCCCGAAGAGGAAGTGGAATCATTGATCAGACTTGGGAAAGCTATTCTGGTCTTGACGCTGAAGCAGTAGGGTGCCTAGGATTGAATCTATTCTGGTTAATAGTTCTTTCCAATTGTTCTCCCAATTAGGCAATGTTTCATCTCTCTGCCATGCTGGATTTCCTTATTTTTTTTGAATAGTTCCTCCCTCTAATAACCTGCTTTCCTTAATTAGCTGAAAATGCTGTTCACCTGCCTCTTGAGTGATGTCTATGTGATTTTGGTAATGAGAGGCCCTATTGAGGTGGACATGAGGGAGGACCCAAGGTGGCTATGGAGACACAGACCCATGTGGACTCCTTAGGGGGCATGGCTGGGTGGTAGTGAACTCCACAGAGAAGAAAGGACTTTGAAGGCATATATAGTTCCTCCAAAAGGAGGGTGAAAATTGCACTGGGAGCTGTATGCCCATCCTTCCTTCCCTTCTTTTCAAGGAAGGTGGGTTTATATGATGGGGGATTTTGAAATTGAGAGAGAATTTGAGCAGATAAAATGAGAGCCTCTTGGTTAACCTGAACTATTCCTGTGAATTGTGCTTGAAATGCCATATTTCTACCCCTGTGCAGCTCCTTGTCTTTGGAAGATTGAAAAATCTTCTAAACTACTGCAAGACTGATACCCATTTGTCTCCACTCACCCTGCCGAACCTAGGGATGTGAGTTTAGAAATGGAGATAACATTGCCACTAATACACTGTAGCAGAAAATGCCCCCCCACGTCAGTACACATCAGTTTGTTAGTTGCCCAGGTAATAGTTCCTGTTCCAGATCCGGTTGCTCCCGTCTCTTAGAAACAGCTGGTCACTGTGATGCCCAGCTGGTCACTATGATGCACATTGTATGAACCAATCCCCAAGTGACAAGCCATTCTGCCTCTGTTCTTCCTGCTTGCTTGTCCTGTATAAGCCATAGACCACCAGAGATCAGGGCCTGGTATTTTGGGAGTGATCCCAGTCAGTGGCTGTCGATGTAAATAAATCTGCCTCCAAATCCTGGTGTCATTTCAGTGTTTCTGCTTGCTGCTGCAATATGTAGTTCCCATTTTAGTCAAATAGCAGTGTAATACCACATATATCGTCCCTTTCTCTTCCTTTTGCCTCAATGGCTCACTTTACCTAAGTAGGTCAAGTGTCTGACACTCTCATTGTGGAACTTAAAGGAAACAGGTTTCCCATGCCCACACCACAAGCTGCCAGAAGCTCAGAAGGACCCAGTGCGTGGGAGGTTCTGTTCCCACTGCACACTTACTGGGAGGCAAATGTGTGTCAGTCTACAGACACACCTGTCATGGAAGGAAGAAAGACTGGGAGACAGTCTGCAGGCTTAGGCCCTGACTCAGTCCTGGCTCACCATAGCTCTTTGTCTAATACAGGGAATCTCTCTGGGGCTCAGCATCCTTGTCTGTCAATTAGCAGAGCCAGCCTGCCTGCCTCCCGGGCAGGTGGAAGGACTGGCTAATCTGTCAGCTTCTGTACAACTCTAAAGCAGAGCTGTAATTATACTGGAGGCATTTGAACCTGAAACTTGATATATAATTGCTTCTCTCCACAAGGGAAATATGATGAGGCACTTGCTCATTTCTTTTACCCACCAAGGAATAGCAGTTATCTAGGGGCATCTGGCTTGGCTTTTAATCATGCCCAGGTGTTGTAGGAGGCTGGCAGCATGGAGCCTTTTTAGGTGCCCTTTCATGATCTCTGTGTGTAGAGACAGAGATAAGATTATTTACACCTCATTCCATTATTCACAGCCTTCTTGGAATGTAGCATTAAATAATTCAGAGACCATACAAGCTTTGGGGATTGATGGTAAAGCTGATAGTTTTGCAAATACAGCATCAGCAGCTGCAGAAAAGCCCAGTTCCCATACAAACGCACATGAGAACCATCGCTGTGTACTAAGTACCTATCAGAACCTTGGAAAGAGCCTGTTCTGTCACCTAAAACCACCCCAGATTCCAGCAATGGAGGGTGTCTGCATAGGACAGCACCTGCCCTTCAGCTCTCTAACCTAAAGGTCTAGGCTGGCCACTAGTGTCAGGGTTTTCCGTGGCCCCTGTGCAAGTACAGTTCCATGCAAAGTGTAGGATGACTTTTGTTTTGTAACTGAGTGGTTTTCATTCCATTAGCTGTTTATTGTCTTTTCTCAAACAAAAATGGAAAACAAAGAATCAATGGGACTTAGAAGACCTGACTCACCTGCTAGCCTGGGGGCCTTCTTGTCCATGGGGACTTGTAGAGGTAGAAAAGAAAACCAGGGAAAACTGGGCCCAGAGAAGAAGTGGAGAGCCCCAAATGGGCTCACCCACCACTTAGCTGTTTGCCTCTCCCTGCACTTGGCTCCTGGCTCCATGAGTTGCTGGGCTGTCCTGGCCATGATGCCCGCTCCAATGGCCCTGATCCCTTCTCCTGCCCCCTCTCCCCTTGGGTCCTGCTTCCCTCAGTGCTCATTGGAGATCTGATAAGACCTTGTCCATATCTCAGCCTCTGGCCCCAAGGACTCCCCCAAGGCCAGATGGATGCCCTTGCTTCATGCTTCAGACGGCCATCACTGGTATTCTCCAAAAAGAAAGTTTGGTGACTCAGTATTATTAGCTAAACTACCAGCTTTTAAGGAGTAGAGAACACAACAATCGGCACTCTTAGATAGCAAGCAATAAATAGTGATGGAGCAAGGTCCCACACAAAACATGGGAGCTTGTTTAAGTTTTCGTGCCAGGCACAAGGGCATGCCTCTGCTGAGTGAGTGCACTGGGAGAGGTTAGGTCAGGCCTGTGGCTTCAAGGATCTTGGGTACGGAGGCTGCAGTGAAGGATGGAAATGTAAGGGGATAGCCTGCCTGCAGTGCAAACCCAAAGCCCCAGTGAATAAAAGGTAAGACGTAGGGTGTGTTTTTGGCAATAGATACCTTGTAATGATCACAGGGAAGGAGAGTGGGGCAGAAGAAGCTTCTGAGGCTTCTTTTGCTGTGCGTGGGGGAGGTCTTTGCTGGAAAGTGCACAGGGGCCATGGGGAACACAGAACTGGCTTGCAGCAGGCAGCTGGAGGGCATGGGCTGAGGGCTGGTCTTAGACAGGAGAGGGATGCCCTGTGAGATGGGAAAGGAGACATCTAGGGAGAGAAAGGAGCCCGGGGGTTGCTGTTAGTGGACTGGACAGGTTTGTAGCATCTCCGGGAGCAGCTTCCCCAGAGATAAATGTGAGTCCTGGCCAGGAGACAGTTGGCCAGGTACGATCACTAAAAAGCCGGGGTCTGGGGCACCCAGATGGGCAGCAGCAAGGAAGCTCATATCACCCATGGATTCACACATTTTTAGGCTTCTATATTTCAAGCACTTGACATGACCTGTTTCTTACTCCTCACGACACTATGCTATGAAGAATGTGTTGCTTTTCTCCATTTGGCAAATGAGAGAATGGAGGCTCAGAGAGAATAACTAATTTCACCAAGGTTACATAGCTGAAAGTGACACAGATCCTGGTCTTTCTGTGATGGCCATGGTCTTTCTCTTATGTTCATGCTAAGGGAACTGGGCATGGCCTTTTTCCTCAGCACATCCTTGTTATGTTTTATCATGAACTGCATTTAACAATATGGTCCAGCTTCTAAATAGCATGGATAATACATTCATAAGAGCATTAAGCCCTTCTGCCTTGATGGTGTTCCATGGCCTATAATTTACTTATTTCATCAGATTCTGTTCTTTACAGTAACTAAGACAAGACAAATAGTAGCACCTAGCTGAACAGTGAAAAT